TTTGCTTTACGCTTGGTTTTGTACGACGCTAAAAGTGCATTCGGCGATTTTTACAATGTCTAATTATATTGAGCAAAGAAGTTGCATTAAATTTTGTTTGCGGAATGAAATTTCGGGTGCAGAAACGTTCAGGATGTTGCAGAAAGCCTTCGGGGACCATGCTTTGTCGGAAAGGAATGTTTACAAGTGGTATAAACAGTTCAAAGAAGGTCGTGAAAGTGTTGAAGACGAAGAGCGTTCCGGACGACTATCAATATCTACCGATGAACAACACGTCAAGAAAATCGAAGAACTTGTGCTTGCTAATCGTCGAATGACTGTTAGAGACCTTGCTGATGCTGTTGGTATTTCGAAAGGATCTGCCAATACCATTTTGAAAGATATTTTGGGCCTGAAACGTGTAAACGATAATGCACGATAATGCACCTTCTCACACTGCACTCGTTCTTCGTGACTTTTTCGCCAAAAATTCGATCCATATCATTCCACAACCACCATATTCGCATAATTTAGCACCGTGTGACTTCTGGCTATTCCCGAAACTCAAAAGACCACTGCGGGGAAATCGTTTTGAGACGATAGAAGAGATACAACGTGAATCGCTACGCGCTCTGAAAGCCATCCCGGAAGGCGACTTTAATTCTTGTTTCGAGGACTGGAAAATACGTTGGCATAAGTGTATTGTGTCGGGAAGGGATTACTTTGAAGGCGACGAAATAGATTTGGAAGAATAAATAAATATTTTTTGAAATAAATAAAAACTGGTCTTACTTTTTGGACACAGTAATATGCAGTTTTTAACTGTCAGATAGCTTACCAAGAGGTTGGAACAATCGACTCTGTTATCGACACTGTTCGAATTCGACTTCATCGACTTCGGTATCCCCTTAACGGATTCAACGGCACTGCGAGCCGGACGCGGGAAGAACGCCCGCGCATCCGCAACCGCGCCCGTCCGTCTAGCTCGAGAGGTCGAGTTGACTTTGTGTCGGCGCGTTTCCGCTTTGTGGGATGCGATAGTGCGGCTTCCAATACACCCTTCGACACCCGATATCGCGCCGCGTCGGCATTCGTATGCAGCCGAGTCGAATTTCGCCCCCATTTTTCGACCTGAATTTTACTAACATTTACAGATTCCAAGGAATAGTTCCAACTGAGTTTCTACTTTGCGTCTCGAGTAAACAGTAAACAGTAAACTCAAGTCTGATATTTTAGAAATAAATATCTTAAGGCTCTCTACAGGTAACACTTAAATTTTGAAAGGAATAAGGCCATTAAGAGACAATGCTGGATGTTTTTTGCAAATGATGAGGAGGATAATAATGTTTGTAGTGTCAAACGTACGGGCTGAAGTGATTTTCCGGTCGTTACAACGTACGCGGTGAATCAATCTTCCACTAACAAACCGACTCTAAATCCCCTCTAAATCCCCTAATATTTTTCTATAATTATTGTAATTATTAAAAACCCTCTCATTTTAATATTCTGCCAAGCGCATTGATTTTATACTTTTGCTTTTATTATCTAAAACGTATTGGAAGTGTATATCATATACTTGCAAGAACTTCGTTCTGGCTAGTAACACATCGTTTATTCTTTATTCACTCACGATGAAGAATGTTGATAAAAAATTTCGAGAATATTGGAAATTTACTTTGCTAGTCTTAAAACAGTTTTTTTTCTATTTTAATTATAATATTATTTCGATTTTAATGGAACTTAAGGAAACATATTTATGTTTTAAAAAGACAATTTTGTGATTTTGTATCCACTGTTTTTCTCAAGATAATAAATACTAAAAAAGAAGATAAGCAACATATTCCTGAAGCCATCTAGAACCGGTCTCTCCTACGATTGGAAAAGGAAGTTATTGTGAAAACGTTGGCGAAGGGTTATAAACAACGATGATAATAATTTATTTGCACTAAACTTAACAAAGTGACATTTGACTCAAATATCAAACCGAAATTTTGAACTGATCGAATATATTAACCCATTAACGCCCAAATGTGCTGAAATTTTACGTTGATTTGAGCCATTTATTTTACTACGGAAATAAGATCTGTTGTTTATAAAGAATACATTCCTACCAATTTTGATATCGCTCTGTCGAATAGCGTTGAGAAAATTTTAAAAAATTCGCAATTTATGTAAAATTTTTGCAAAATAAGATTTAAAAAACGCATGTTTTTAGAGCTAATTTTTTCTTCTTTCGTTATTTTCTCTATAAAAACGTGTTAGTATCGCTCGAGAAAGTGTCTAAAACGTGTTCCTGACACTTTAACTTAAAAAATATGCCATGGGTATTTTTTCAACAAACATGGTGCTATCAAAATAGCAGTTGATTTGAAGCGTTTAATTCGTATTTTCGTTTATATTTGGTTATCGAAATTGTTTTAGGGTCAATATTACTACAAAATTTTAGTAATTTACATAGTAATTACATAGTAAAACAATTTCGATAACCAAGTATAACTCAATAATGGAATCAATGCGCATAGAAGAGTATTAAAATAAGGGGGTATTTAATAATTCTAATAATTATAGAAAAATATTAGGGAATTTAGGGTTGGTTTGTTAGTGGAAGATTGATTCATCGCGTACGTTGTAAAGATCGGAAAATCATTTCGGCGCGTGCGTTTGATACTACAAACATTATTATCCTCTCCATCATAGATATTTGCAAAAAACATCCAGCATCGGCTCTTAATGGCCTTATTTCTGATATTTTAGGCTTCCGCGATGTAATGAAACGCTTGGCCTTCTGACTTCCGCCTTAGTGCCACGTTCCTCATGGATTTATTTCCGACGTTTCGTGAGCATTCCAATTTACCTCTTCAAGGAGAGGATTGCGTGGATCACGGTGTCTATAGACGCTGGTCTATGGGCGGTGCATTAGGGAAGCTTGAGAACGTTCATTAATTTACGTTTGGACGGATCGACCGCGGGCATCTCGCCACATAGATCTTCGTAATGTGACGTTATAAGCTGAAAAATGATAAGTTTTCGTGACGAGATAAGAATCAGCAGAAGCTACTTATACCAGTAATACTTAGCACCGCGTCAGATCTCTGGAGTTTATCTCGTTTATAAAGAATCCTCTCCTGAAATTGACCTGAAAGTTTCAGGTCAATCTTCTCTCTAAAAAAGTGGAATTTTCACGAAACGTCGCAAATATATCCATGAAGGGCGTAACACCCGCAAGCCAAATTAAGTAACTTACATGCTCTAAACAGGAACTTTGATGGAGATACAAACCCGCAAAGAATTTATCAACATTAAAAAGACTGAATACAACTGAAAAGGGGACAGAGCTATTCGACAATATTGAAGTATTTGTCCAACCTCAAATATTCAAATTCTGTTCAAGTTAACCAGAAATCTTGTTAACTTGAACAGAATACTGGTAACTTTAACCAAAATTTCTGATTTGTTCATATTTCATCAGAAATCTATTATCCAACTAAATTTTTTTCCCATATGAGATTAGTATAGTTAGATATATAGTATGTTAGAATAGAAAAGTTAGATTAATAATTATCCGAGTTTATCCGGATGAAATTTAGTAATTCCATTAGTTTCCAAGAACATCTAAAGATACAAAACAAAACTTTTATTTTAACTGACTTCAAAAACAAGCTTTTTAGTAAATAATTAAAAAATGTAAAATAAAAAGCTTTTTTGACAAAAACAAATTGCCTTCAAAAATTTCAAAGGCTGTAAAAAGAGAAGTGTAAAATAATTCTCACTCAATATTCCTATATACTTACGATCCTATTGTAATGTTTTGGATTGCATTCTAAAACGTCCTTTTTGAAGAAAATTTTACTCAATACCTATAATTCATGTCACATATACTATACAGTCTCGAGTAAAATTTTTTCAAAAAGAGCATTTTAGAATGCAACCCTAATAATATTAGAATTCGGCGCGAAAGACACAAATTGGATAGATAACGAACTATATAGGTAATTTTATTTTATTTTATTACTTTATTTTATTTTATTTTATTACTAAATAAATAATAAAAAGAGATATAAAGAAACATTTATATAAAATATAAATATATATTATTGATTCCATGAGTCAGATTTTCGCGCAGAGTTCTAATGTCGGTAAAATATTAGAATAGAATTATAGATACACAGGATTATTGAGTCAAAATGAATTCATATTTTTTAGATCTTTCGAAGTTCTTGAAAGCTTTGTTTTTGCTATTCCGTAGCGTACTTAGAAATTCACTGCAATATCTTTAAAAAAATGAAATCTTTAACCCAAGAAGTATTTAGCGACGCCAGATAAAACTCTATAGGAATTAAATAGAATAAAAGAAAAAGTAATAAAACTCTATAGGAATTAAATAGAATAAAAGAAAAAGTTCAAACTCAGAGGGTGTTAAATTTGAAATCAAAAACCGAGTTCCAAAATAGATAATTAAAGAATAATATCGAGTCGAGGGATCATGTGTTAGTTGTGTCGCTGTATACGTAAACGCGTGCAAGTGAATGCGTTTAATGGAAATAACGACAGTCGGCATCAGTGTCGGCGGCAACGAGGTGATAACGAAGTTACGGGGAACACGGCAGTTTTAAAACTCTGTAAATATGCCGTCTACGAAAATGGGGTTGTATTCGCCGTGCAGTGCCGTGCCGTGCTGTGCTGTGCTGTAGTGTGGTGTACGGATTTATATGCGGTATGTGAGGTCGCGGGTATAATCTAAGCGCGCGATCGATGTCCCGGCGCGGAAAAGAGCGTCATGCCATTTTGTCGAATGAGCTGACCGAAATCAGGTAGTCGATTAGGGGAGATTAGATGCCCTATATTTCAGA